TTGATGCTGAGATTGTACAGAAAAATGGACAATTTGAGAAGAAAGGTATGTATATGAGAGAAGGAGAGAATATGTACGATTATTGTATATAGCTTTACTGTCTTTCTGTTTTGTATTTTGTGTGCGTCACTGTTTAGTAATAAATAGAATAGTTTCCAAAACCTATTATTTCTATTCAGTTATAGAAACATGCTTAATCACAATTAACTCAAACGACGAATGACAAGAATAAATCACTTCAATGTCAGAATCTACATTTGAAGAAAGATTCGAAAAACTCTATAAAATCCGAAACACATTATCGAGATATATGATATATGATAAGAAATTATATGTATATTTAGTAATTACTAGCAATAATATATTTAAAAAATTATATTGATTGATACGTGGCATATTTAAAAATTTCCTATATTTGACAGAGGATAACTCCGGAACTCGCACAGACTCCGTGTCCTAACAAAAAAGTATATTTTCTATACAGCTTCCTTTAAATAACTGTGAGAAAATCACTTCCCTATAGAAACCAATTTTTGGAAGTTATAATTATTCAAAGACGACCGCGTCGCGCGTCACTCACGGGTAAGCTCGGCCGCGGGTATTCTATGAAACGTTACATGAAATATATGTATGAAATATATATTTAGAAAGTAATGTAGAATGTATATAAATGTGTAGAATGTATAATTACATTTAAACAATTTTCCTTTTTAATTAAAAATAGTAATGAAAATTTATTGTTTAACAAATGCAAAAAATAATTACTTATCAATAGCTAATTATTTTTATTGAAAATTTCATTGCAATATCTCTAATGTTTCAAAAATTATAACAACTTGTCATTGAATTCTTCAAACCGGACCACTGTAATCGCAAGCATGGGAAGTGAGATGGCGGGCTTATCCATGTAGACACTCACACATAGAGCCCGTTGGATTTGTTCTGTCTCTCTCGATCATCTCCCGTTTTCCTTCTAAAGCAACTGCACGAACCTGAATGGGTATTAAATTGGCGCTCATAACCATGACGCTATTTTTGAAAACAAGTGTAATTATTACTCATATTTAAACAATCGTATAATGAAAAAATACATTTTTATCTTTTATCATGTACAAATACGAATTTATTTTAACATGTAATACATACAATAGATAATATTTAACAATTATACATTTCAGATTCATGTTGCAACATTTAATTTAATGTGTAAAAGATCAAGGCGGTATCATTATTTATTTAAACATTTTCAATATTGCTCTTGTAAAAGTAATAAAAACGTGTCAAATTTTATACATATCTCAGAAGAGGTAATTGTTCATTACAACAAGAGAAATATTTCAATTGCATTATTATTAATTACATCAATCTATGCAAATATTTCGTTATATTGTTTTTATGCAAGGTACATTATAACTAAAACTATGACGATGCATGTAAAAACCATTCCTCCAACTAAAACAAATCCATCTTGTCTAGCTCTTTTTTCTATTAGCCTCATTGTGGTATTTGATAGCCCCAATGCGTTTCCAATATCTATTAATCTTTTGTGAGCCCCTTTTAATGTTATTCTTTGTGATCTCAAATTGTCTAAAATACTGCTTCCACTTTGAAGAAGATCATCCATCCCATGCAGTGCATTCCGCAAGCCATTATTATGCTGAACATTGTGATCAATCATAATATCAACATGATCATTTGCAGTAAATGTTGTAGACAATAATGCCTCTCTCTCAGCTTCTTCTCTTTGCTGTCTAAGTATTTTATTACGCCATGAATTCAAAGCAGCCATCAAGTGACGACTGTCATATTTCAATTGATCAACTCGCATCTTGGCATTTTGCCTCTGATGTATGGGACCTTTTAGACATAACACATCCAATCTTTCGCAATTACTAAAAAAATAAACACATGCGGAAATACAGTTTAGAAATACGTTGAACAGTGCTAGATGTTACATATACATGCAGATACGTTACACATGTGCAATGAAAAAATGTATTAAAAATAAAAGTAAAGAAAAAGGAAAAGATAAAATCATAAAGTATTAGTTAACTACCTGTTGATAACATTTATTTTCGACTCTATAGAGTTTTCGATTTCGTGGATATTCAGGTTAGGCGTTTTTTTCTCAAGTTGTGAAAATAGATGTTGAGTCTCTTGGACTAATTTATTTGTTTGATGATATAGTGTTTCCATATTGTTTAGTAATTCTTTCCATTCACTTCTAATGTCCGCGAATGTTATGACGTGTACTGAGTTATCAGAGCGAGTGTCTGTAACAGTGGTTATCAAAGTATGCTCAATATTAGAATCGTAAAAACAATGAATAAGTAAATGACTATAAAACATTGGAGATAAACAAATGTTTCTACATATATCACTTACTAAGGCAACATTGTAAAATATATTTTTTGAAACCTATTCAATAAGACAGCAGACGCACTTCTTATTTCCACTAATGAGAAACTACTGACATCTTTGTTTTCCTTAGTGTATACAGAAAGTTTTTCTTAGTTAACAACTAGTAGCAAGTTCAAGTTAACTAAATAAATAATTAAACAATTTTTCGCATTGTTATTTCATTCTTTCTAGGAAAGACGATTATTTGTGATACATACAAGTGTATTTTCAGTGATGTCCTATTTGTAACAATGAAAAATATCAAGCGTAACTAACAACTGGAAAAAATACATATAAGTTGTTGATACTGGAGAAAATTAGTAAACTTTACAAATGGATATCGGAGAATTACTATCGTATAAAGTACGTTGTTGCGTTTTAGATATATCTTAGACTCTGTTGTTGTTGAAACAGTTGATTGTAACCTAACTAACCTTACAAAGTTGTTTCTTACAGCCGCCGAATACGCCAAAGAGACCTGTGGCAGGTGAAGAAGATGACGAAGATGAATGGGAAAATGCTAAGAAACCGAAACGAGTCATTAAAACCCCGTATCATCCGCGTCAAAGACAAACGAGGGAGGTTGAAGTTACTCCGGTCAGAAGTAGTGAACCACCTACACCTATTAGAGCTGCTTTACCTTCGCCAGCGAACGATGTAGTTGAACCACAATTGACGGAGAAAGAGAAGCAGGATATTCTAAAATATGTGGAAACTGAGGCCCCAGAAGTAGAAGCTCTGGATGAAGCAACTCTTAAAAGAATGGTGTTATTGTTTGAGAAAAGAGCTCTACGAAATCAAGAGATGAGGGTGAAGTTTCCTGACCAACCAGAAAAGTATATCAGTTCCAATGTTACATGTGTAAAATACCAATTGTAAGCTTAAGAAATTAATGCTACATTCATTTAAACAGATTTATGGAATCTGAGGTCGAACTACATGAAACTCTTCAAGAACTTCATGTTGTTGCTACTAACCCAGATCTTTATCCATTAATGGTAGAATTGGGTGCTGTACCTTCTTTGCTTGAATTATTATCTCATGAGAATACAGACATAGCAGTTGGTGTTGTTGATCTCTTGCAAGAGTTAACAGATGTAGACATTCTCCATGAAAGTCAAGAGGGAGCCGATACACTTATTGATGCATTATTAGAGCAACAGGTTTGTGCTCTTCTTGTACAGAATCTTGAGAGACTGGATGAGACTGTTAAAGAAGAAAGTGATGGGGTTTACAATACTTTAGGTAACTGGATTATAGTGTACTCTCTTTTAAAATTTAAGAAGAAAATTTAATGTATCCTCTTTTCAGCTATCTTTGAAAACCTTTTGGAATTCAGACCTGATCTGTGTACTGATGCAGGAAAACAAGGATTGATGCAGTGGCTGTTGCGTAGAATTAAAGCAAAAGCACCATTTGATGCTAATAAACTCTATGCCAGTGAACTTCTGTCTATTCTGTTACAAAGTACACCAGAGAATAGGCTTCTGCTTGGTGAACTTGATGGAATTGATGTTTTACTGCAACAATTAGCGGTACTTGAACAGTTTTCATTTTATAATTGTTTATTTTTTGCTACATTATTTATTAATTTATATTATTTCTAGTATTATAAAAGACACGATCCCCAAACAGCTGAAGAACAAGAAATGATGGAGAATTTGTTCAATGTATTGTGTTCATGTTTGATGGCAACAGTGAACAGAGACCGATTTTTAAGAGGAGAGGGATTACAGCTAATGAACTTAATGTTGAGAGAAAAGAAAATGTCTAGAAATGGCTCTCTTAAAGTAAATTTTTATTTATGCAGATTATTGTATACTAATTAATACAAAACAATCTACATATTAACACTGTGTATTAGGTATTAGATCATGCAATGAATGGTCCAGATGGAAGAGATAATTGTAGTAAATTTGTCGATATCCTCGGATTGAGAACTATATTCCCCTTGTTTATGAAAACACCGATAAAGAATAGGAAGAAGATGCTCACTGCAGAAGAACATGAAGGTAATGGAAATAGAGGACGTATATTTTTTAAAATAAATTTCCAAATTAATTTTATCATTTCCTTTTTATTATAGAACATGTAGTATCGATTATTGCAAGTATGTTGAGGAACTGTAAAGGTCAACAACGACAGAGATTATTGAGTAAATTCACTGAAAATGATTATGAGAAGGTAGATCGATTAATGGAGCTTCATTTCAAATACTTGGAGAAAGTAGAAGAGGTTGAAAAAAATACAAAGGTATGTGATTCAACAGATTTTGTAGATATAAAAATTAGACAGATATTTCGTAGATAAAGAAATTACCTAATATTTTCAGGAAGATGAAGATGAAGAGGAATCGTACCTGAGAAGACTGGACGGGGGACTGTTCATTTTACAATTAGTAGATTATGTACTTTTAGAAGCTTGTACCGGTTGTCCGCCTGCAGTAAAACAGAGAGTTACGCGTATTTTAGCACAAAGAAGAGCTTCCCTCAAAACTATTAGGCACATCATGAGAGGTAAACCCTTGTTTTAGAGAAGCCTTTCTATGTATAATATATATATATATAATTCATAAGAGTATACTACACATAATACTTGTTTTTGTCAGAATATGCTGGAAATCTTGGTGATGCTGGAGATCCAGAATGGCGAGAAGCGGAGCAACAGCACATATTACAATTGATTGATAAGTTTTGATGTATGCTCCTTAACAAAAAATTACAAAATTCGGATCTCGTCGGTATATTTGAATCGTTATGCTTTATTAGCGTTTAATATACGATCAAGATTTGTTATACGAAACGTTCTTTTCTATACATAGGAAAATAGAGTAAGTTTGGAAGATAATTAAATGCGTGTGTATTTGTTGCCAAACAACGCATTTTTGTTTCGCACTGGAGCAATCGTTTGAAATGCGCGCCATATCGATCTTCCCGCGACCAATAGATCAATCGTCGCTACTTTTTCGAGTCAAAATATTCGCGTCAAAATTGGTTCGCATCGTGACACGTCTGTACAAAAATTCGTAATTTATGAGATTTTAGAATCGAAGTAGTGTTCAATTGCCCATTAATGAAATATTTCGCACCAGTATCGTAGAAGTAAGATAATAAAATGGGCGAGAACAAAGTAGCGGTAACAAGCTGTCATGTCAATGCTGCTCAAGTTAATCGCGTGTCTCAACGACGTTGTCTCTCCATACGAATCGGAGGACATCGTTTATAATTTTCAAAATTACTATGGCGAGATACAATTATCGGACTATTTATGGAAAACCTGTTACCATCGCAAACGATTCGGCCTATACGAAAAATTTGTCATCAACAGCGGCTACGTAAAATACTATCACGAATACAACGACCGTGGAGATGCGTTTCATTATCAGCGATACTTTTCTCATCTGGAGTTCACGTTATGCGAGGTAAGCAAAAGTTCATATTAAATCTCCTATGAAATATTAACAAAAATATTTATATTTAAATTAACGAATCCGAAACCAGAAATAGGGATGTTCCCTATGTTATCCTATGTTATCTACTCGCCACAAATTGCTAGGTTTCGATTTATGTTTCGAATAACATTAGATATTCCTTATTTCATTTATAGTATATTTTGAAATTATTTAAGAATTATGATGTCCAAAAGTGTGTGCAATATAAGATGAAAGAATTACAGAAATGATTTTAGATTGGATTGAGAGATAAGAAAGTGACGGACATATAACAGAAAGGAATGGACAATTACTATAGATGGCGTCGAATGCATATTTTGCTCAGCGTCTCTGTTTCCATGACAACAGAAGCGTGGTGGGGGATGGCACAGCAATGTGTTGTGACATGGTATAGTGGGGAGGGGGGTCAACGCTCGGCGAACGATCGATCGCGATTGGCTTATTCGCTGGAGCTGCAACCAATCAGATTCCACGCTGCGCCCTTGCGCGAAAGTTTGCCGCACGAACGAGTGATGCCAGTTTGCTGCTGCAAGCTTTAGAGGCGCGGTTGTTGGCTGTGTCGGCCGGTTCGCGCTTCGTGTTTTCGTCTTTGCGTTTTTCGTTGCTCGTGTCAATCAAAAGACAGTCGTCGGGAACGTGCTGACAGTAACGGAGAAATCCGTGCGTGCCGCGTGTGCTCGTTTGTTGTGCTCTATCAGCCTGTGTCGAGAGGACCCGCTAGAAAACTCGAGGAGGACTGCGCCGAAGGAGCTCCAACCGCGCGGAGCAGCAACCACGGTATGTCACCTGTCACTTTCATCCCGTATCTTGTGATTAATGCGCGGATGTTATTGATCGGTATCGTGCTCTGGATCGGTATGTGCGTGCGTGCGTGCGTCCGCAGACGTCTGCACGAATTCGTGTCTTTTTTTCGTAAATTTATGGCGAAAGAAAATGGAGTACGAGGGTAGTTTTTTCGGTACCTCTGACGTTTGACGTTCGACGAGAAACATAACCCTACTGTGGTGTGGGTTACTGCTCTGATATATTATTCCTGTAAAGTGACATTTTTGGTAAACGGTTTCATTAAAATCATTAACACTCAAAGGAACGTAAGTACAGTGACGGCGGCGAAAGAATTCTTATTAATTCGAGTCGTCTGCTGTCAGTTTATAAATTAGCCTCTTAAGAAAATTTATGATAGGCTGTTATTGCTGTCGATTTGAATAAAGTGTCAAGGTCTATACAACGTGGTTTGGCCAGAAGACTGCTTCTATTCGGACAGAAACGTGTTACTCGTGCCGGACACCGAAAATAACTACCGTACGATCCGCTTTAGTGCGAAGAATTCACCACGGACAATCTTTTTGCACGATCCTCTTGAAATACACTTCGTAGAATCGTAATAATACAATAATCGTAATAATATAGTAAACTATTCTTAATCGAGAGAGCCATTAAGCAATTACAAATGTTTGTTGTTAGTAAGCAATATAAATGAGTCTAAACACTCTACCAATCGGACAGCGGAGAGGTTTCCACGGTTTAACGAGAAACGTCTCGACACTAAACCGATCTTGTTGTCATTATCCGATTTATACAGTGTTTAGGCTCATTTTTATGCAGAAAACACCAATGATCGATTAGTAATACTTTCACAACGATGAAACCAGTTAGAATATTTATTGTTACTGTATTTTCTTGGAACAGGCTTTCTGAGAAACCATTATTTAGCTTAAGGTGACATTCGAGTTTGAGACGCGACCGAGCGGCTTCGATTTTGTGAATCGATTTGATCCTTTTTTTGTGTGATTAAAGTCTGCCTAAATGGTCGCAGATTTAGCCGCAAGTGGCGCGTTCGCGCGTTTGCAATCGCTACACTCCGGTTCCATGTATAATTTCGTGTAACTGCGAATTCGGCGGGCGCTTTTCGGATAACAGTTGGCGCACATGTTGGGGGTGATGTGCCCAAACATTCACTAAAACAACAGCTCTCGGTTTATGTCTATCACAGAAGCGTTCGCATCAGCATAAAGAACGTTTCCCGCTGTCCGCGTTTAAAATTTATCCGTGCTTTCTTGAAATTAATTAGAGCTTTAAACATTATCGCGAAAGAGTTGAAAACCTCTGCGATATGATGAAAAATTGTTCAGTTGCTTTTATGGGGAATGGTTGACCCGTTGACCAGGGAACCATTTCTAATTTTCCATGTAACGAATAATTTATTATTAAAGTGAACTTCTTCTATTGCGACGCGTTCGGTTAGCTACGGTTACGTTAAAGCGGGGGGTGGTCGACGTAAGGTTTCTCCGTGTGTAACGCCAGCTGAGAGGCGTCTCTTTACAGTATAAAGCCAATTTGCAATTGCGTATCCACGTCTGCGATGACGTAACAGTGACCCTTTCAATTTGTTATACATATATGTATACACACAGCCAGTTAAAGGCTGGCCACGTGGCCGGATGTCCTATCAACGGGAGGACGAAGGATCATTTCCTTTTGTCCACGGTGACAAAATGATTTCTAGCGGAACAGTACACGTGGAGCTTTAAAAGTACTTCGTGTGTATAATTATCTCCAGGAAGTAGTGCGATAGCGTAAGTTTGTTTCTCCATTTACATTGCATAATTTACTCCTGGTGATTGCATTATCTCTTCTTGCGCATTATGCAAGCGATATTGAACCGAGATTCGACAGGGTCGCATTTCCATGTATTTATAGAAAGGATTATACTGTAGCGAGAAGGTTTAGACATTTATAATTTTTTAATTTCTCAATTCTTGTTATAATTTTTATTGGTATACAGATGTGAACAGTGGTCGATCGTGAGTATGCGAATCCGAGATAAAGTAATCGTTTCCCTGGGGGAAACAAGTGTTTAGACGTCGAGATTTACTCATTTATTCATTTATTCACGGGAAAAATTCTCTAGTACAGAAGGAAGGTAACGTGTAAGAGAAAACAAAATAAAAATTATAAAGGTTAGTAAAAATCATTATTCTACAATATGCTGCAACGATAGTTGCATACTTCTTAAGGATTGTTTAATTAATATATGTTTTTGCGGGCACGGAGTTAGCTTGATTGATTATTCCATTCATCGAATTTTAAGATCCATATATTGTTGGTTGATATTTCATATCTAGATTGTATAAGATAATTACAGTCCTAATTTAATTTGCCAGTCAACGCGATATCGACGTTGGAGTTCTTGAAAATCTTTTTCGATATAGGCACGACGACTGCCGGAGTTTTTCGGTCTCGCGATCGTTCGCTAATCGATAAAGAAATTGCTACAACCAGTTGCGCTATTGAATTTACACTTCGTTATCATATTTATTTTCGCATCCACGATACTATATTTCTATGTACTCACGTTTTCAGCTGAACCTTTTTGCTCGCCAATGCATTTGCAATTCTGTTATCGGCACAGCAAGAACATTTCTTCAAAAAACCGACGGCATCGTACACGATTCGTGTTCGTAGAATTGATCCAATGGAACGCACAGATCCAGCTGGAACCGCGTATTTTCGAATGCATCGTCTGATGCAGATTTGCATTCCCCGCAAAGAAAGCCCCTTTCATCTAAAACCCATTAATTCCGGAGATATTTCGATTTGAATATCGCGTGACGGCACTCAATTACATTGAAATGTTTTCAAACTGGACAGATTTCAGCCGTAAACGGCTCGGCGCATTTCTGTAGAGCACGCTAAACTGCATCGACCAGGAGATGCACCCTGATCCACGAAGGGCACGAGAAAAAGAGGAGAGAGAGAGAGAGAGAGAGAGAGAGAGAGAGAGAGAGAGAGAGAGAGAGAGAGAGAGAGAGAGAGCTGGCTGGCGAAAATTTCGCGGGCGGGCGCAGAGGCTTTAAATCCCTTTGCCGTGGTTTATCGATTCTCGTCGGCGCAGAATGCACGCCGGTGCATCACTATGAATGCTGCAGACGACGCGCGACCTTGAACGAGTAGGTCGCGAAATCTGAATAAAGGCCGGTTGAACGGGGGAGAAGAAGCCCGCGGCCTTTTTCGCGTGCGAGAGAGCGAGGAAGAGCGTAATCTTCTTCGCGCGGATTTCTCGGCTTTCGACGCCCGTAAAACCGTCATCGTTCCGGGATCGTCGAATCCCGGGATTGGCGTCGCGACGGACGACGCCTTTTACAGCCGCCCGGGGCCGATGCCAACGGACGATGGGAATATTTTTATGAGTTCACCGGAAACCAATTTTGAAGCCGATTAAACGGCCGAGGTCTGACCGAGGATCGTTAAACGCTACGCTGATCGAAACGGCCGATTCCCGCGCGCAGAATTTCGCGCGGCTGACGCGTTGCGGACAAATTGAAATACTTATTTAAGGAGGATCCAATTAGGCTGCCGGCGTTCGTTCCTGGACTCGCCGCGGCCAGGTTTACGCTATTATCGATCAAACTGTCCCAGATTCGCGTGCTCTTCCGCTGCCCGAAGCTCTGCGCGATGCTCTCCGAGCTTTGTGCACGCTTATCGCTCGCTCTTACTCCTTAAAACTTGCATGATTAACCGAGGATTTATTTGTCGTTACTATCTCGGTCGTTTCGAACAGAATCCGACGCGTTTCTCTTCCTCGATCTGCATGCTGCAGAAGCAGAGGTTGAAGAATCGTCGATTCTTGATCCGTCGGTCTAATCGAGGACGATCGTTGTCCTCGCGAAAGTGATGATTGAACATCCCCTATCGGTAGACGCATAGTTGAGATTTTATCTCTAGGTTCAAGGCCAAGCAATGGACTTGGTTTACAGCACTTCCTTTGCCTTCTATTTGTCTCTCCGTACGACCTTCGCCTTTTCGAAGTTATCTCTTCTTTTGTGTCTCTTCCTATAATTTTATCATTTTCCTCTTTATTTAATCATTCTGAACATCGGGAAAATTATCGATACCTTAATCTTAAAAGAAATGAAAAATCGTAGGGAAATAAATATGTCTCTGGCTTCTACAGCTTTTGTTGGATTTAGTACAAAGTATTTTGCACGGTTCTTTCCAAAGATCAACAAAAATCTTAGTGGAGGAAACGGAAATCCTTTCAAATCATTATCATTCAACACTAAAATCGAGGTTGAACAGAATTTTATTCAGATAATGGATAAGAGATAGAGATTAACGAATAAAATTTTATTCGGCAGTATCGAATAAATATCTAATCGAATGAAAATTTATCTAGATACTTTATCCGAATAAGATTCGAATAAGTATTCATACAAAATATTAGTGTTTTTTCATAGTTCATCGATTCATTTCTTCCATATTGCTTCCATAAGGCTTGCAGTGAATTTGATAAGACTATAAAGTAGTTGTAATTGAAATTCAAGAGACAACAAATATTCGCATTATTATTCGAATAATTTTACTATCTCTGTACGAATAAAGAATTATGCGAATAATTTATTCGAATAAATAAATAGAATAGTTTACGACGAATAATGAATAATCGTTATTCGAATAAAATATTCGACTAAAAAAACTTTCGTCGGATAATTATCTTAGATAAATATTTATTCGAAACAACTCGAATAATGGTCAATCCGGAATAAAATAAATAATGAATGCATTTGAATATAATCACCACTGCTCATCTTGTCCATATTTATATTATTTTCATTTTCCACTATGCAATATGCATAAACATCGTCTATTGATACTTTCGAACAATTTTGCAAGGTACCATCACAAGCACTTTTGAATGAGCTTGCACTGTAACTTGGGACAAATTTTTCGTCGCACCCGGATAATTAACTTTCTCTGTTGTTGCCAATTAGCACACG